AACATTTTGCGGGGTAACCCCGTACCACTCCACTCCGCCAATCTAAATCAATTATCAAATTCTTTTCTTAATACTGGATATTCTACATATTCTTCATCTTGATCATTGTCGTTTATCTTTTCTAAGTCTGTAACAAACAGTTCTTCTTCTTTGTATAGTGCTTCTATGTATTCTTTCCATCTATCTACAACCTGTTCCTGTTCATAAATTATCTCTTCTTTTTTATTTTCTATTGCTCCACTTTTGGGTGTACGTACTCCGAAGAACCTTTTTACTGTTTTATATGCTTCCTCTATCTTGCCCATTCACATCAAAATGTCTATTTCCTCGCACTTTCCTTCTAGATATTTTTCTTTTGCTGATTTTGATTTTCTTATGATCATGTTTCTTAAAGTCCTGTATCTCTTTTGATATTCATCAGTGTTTAAATTTTTATACTTTCTTCTCTCTTCTATCATTTCAATAATCTCTGGTGTTATCCATTCTTTCCTCGGTAATGTGCTTTTTGTTTCTTTCATTATCTCAGTTGCTGCTGATTTTATACGATTTTCTAAAGGGCGTAGTTGTTTCTCTCAAGGAAGTCCACCTGGTGTTAATGTCCTGTTCTTCTTGTGTTTATAGTTATTGACAAATCAAAAACATTATATGACTGCAATCAGACAATTATACCAAAATATAATTTTTTGTTCATTCCATGTCCATTTTGTGAGAAAAAATTTATTTATGAAATGGGTTTGATCTTCCATATTATGTATAGTCATATAACTACTGAAAATAATATTAAAAAGAGAGTACGCCATTCAGAGGTAATCAATGCATTATATTATTATTATTATTATGCTGTCTAGGATTATATTATAATATTCATTTATTTATATAAAATMCATTTTATTTGAAAAGGATTTAGTAATGACAGTTTCATCTGCGATAAAAGAATTAAGTTGTATAGGAGACTCAACTAACAGCATCTCGTTATTATACTTCATTAAAAGTTATGGGATAAGAACAACTGAGGTTAATAAATTTAATGATTTTATTATTGAAAACTGTGGGGCTATTCAATTCATTGTTAATTCCAAAACCAATGTAAGTAACAATTTTTACATTATAAAATATTTACAATTCCCTATATATGTACACTTAAAACTAAACAATAAACTACAATAATTATATACAGGTGCTTTCAATATATACAGACGTTAACAAGATCATAGAATTTATAAAAATACAAAAATGTGAAGAAGATATTATACAAGGAAATATTTATAACTTAGCATCTAATTTAGTATCTTTAAATTTTAATAAAAAATTAGGGCGAAAAAAATTAGGAACTATAAAAAACAAAACAATAGACATATTCAAAAGTCAAGCAGTAAACAATTATTCACAATTCTTAATATCTTCTAAACAAATAAATTATATACAGACACAAAATAATAATAAATATACAATGCCTCAAAAATTTTCAATAAAATACAAAAGATTCCGCCTCCTACCGAATTCAACATAACTAATATCCATTTTATCACCACCATACAATATTTAGACTATTTCATCTCAAACACAATTATTTACAATAACAAACAACAAATTATTGATGAGTAAGTAAAACAGTGAACATAACTTATTAATGTAACTAATAATAACTAATAACTAATAATTAATAACTAATCTTAATATTTCTATTTACAGTTTCCAAATTTGTGAAAAAATCTTTTTAAAGCTGCAAATAAACAAAAAAAAAAAATTAATTAAATTACACATTCTTAAATTTATAAATCAAATTAAATATCTAAGTCATGGTATAATTGATAATAATAATCGAAAAATAATGAATTTCTCAAAATTCATTTGTATAAATAATATAAAGTCGCTAGACAAATTGTTTTGTCAATTTGTCAATGATTTGGATCCTTGGTGGCTGAATTATATAATTGATTTATCATATGAAACCACAAGGTAAATATTTATTGACTATTCCAACATCACTTAAATAATTAAAATAAATAATGTAAAATATGAATTTAAAAATAAATAGAATTCATTCAACTAGTACACATACCATAATCATTAATGTTGATGAAGTCCTTCAATTTTCCAGCAATAATGATAATTATGTATTAACTCTTGCCTGCCTGATAAGTATGGAAAATA